AATTGAGCCATTTGTCGTTTGTGATACTATAAGCACTGCAGAGATCTGCTGATGTTAAGGAAGTTGTAGGAATTGAAAGAGCCCTGGCATACTAATTCCATCTCATTTTAGCCAGTTTGGTGCTGCTGTACAATGGGGAGCTGTCTGTTGTTGCTGTCTGCCTCACATTTTAGGAAATGCTTGTCTGGGGTCGTTTGTGTAATAGACTAGATTCCAGTGTGTGAACTCAGGAAAAAAATAGGAATTTTGCATTTCTTATAACCCGTAAATTCATATTATTAATATAGAGTCCAATGAATGATTAATTTATATTTTTGTGTGCTAAATTTTCATAAAGTACTTTAAAAGCCTTTATCCAGTTTTATCAGATGAGTGACCAAGTTGCACACTATCTATGCCAGACTGAATTCCTGTGGTAACAAGTCTTTGTAAACCAATGATCTCTTCATACACGAGTACTACGAGCTGCACTTTTTGGCACACTGTGATTTTTGTCTGTTGATCATGAAGAATAACTGTTGTTTCAGGTGCCTTAGAACTTATTGATGCCTCCAATGATTTGCCAGGGCTGAAGTGGATGCCAGGCATAACATCCTGGAAGGTATTAATTATTTCTGTCCTCTTCTCTTACTTTGATTTTTCTTTCTTCTCTGGGTCTTCTGTCATTCACTTGTTCTTTCTCCTTTTTTGACAGAAAGCAGGCAGACTAGCATATAACGAAGTTGGTTCTCAAAGGCTTTCCAAATGTTTATATAGCAGTTTCTTTAACGTGATTTTAATAGTTTTCATTTTTTTGCAGCTAATGACCAAGGGAGGTGAGTGGTATAATGATTGGTCTGAAGTACCTGAAAGCCGCCACACACAGATTCGACCAACAATGTTTCCTCCTAAAGATTTGGAGAAATTGAAGGAAATGAAATTAGAGAGATGGTAAGTATGGTTGATATTTGTTCCAGTTTAAATCTGGAAGTTATTTATAGATATTTTAAGACTTATAATATAATTTTCTTAACATTTTTAGTTTTTCTTTCAGTCATTCTCGAAAACGTGTAGCAGTTGTCATAAAGATAAGATCACTTTATTGGTCATATGCAATTTCTTGTATTAGGAATTTCTTTGCATCCCTCAACCTGCTCTTCCCAAGACACACTGACAGGGAGAAAAGCTTGGGGTCAGAGCACAGGATCAGCCATTTATATGGTGCCCCTGGAGCAATTGGGGTTAAGGGCCTTGCTCAGGGGCCCAGTGGAGTAGGATTTCTCTGCCGGTCATGAGATATGAACCGACAACCTTCCGGCCACAGGCGCAGATCCTTAGCCGCAGAGCCATCGCACTGCCCCAGTACTACATGCATACTTAATGTGTAATTTCTGAGTATAATTTGTACTCAGAAATTTTACCATAAGTTTCAGATTGTTTGGTCTTTTTGCAGGTCTAAGATTAAAGTCTAACAATTTAAAAATGTCAAGATTTATTTAATAAATTTGAGATTTATTTAACCACAAGGGGGCAGATTTGTAATGTCCTCCTTAGTATGTTAGTTATGCTCAGAAGAACGAGAGATTGTCATTTGCCTGTTTTATTTTGAAAGATTATAATATCTTGCTGTTAAATGCTTTCCAGTATGCGGATATTGCCTCATCACCAGAATACAGGAGGATTCTTTGTCGCTGTGCTCATGAAGAAAGCCCCTATGCCTTGGAATCGTCGGTATCCAAAGGTAGAGTGTAAAAGCCCTCAAGATGATTTAACAAGAATAAGAAACAAAGTGTATATGTATGTCAAAAAATAATGTATAAAGCGGATTAATCCAAAATATCACTTTTCTAAAAGTGTTATAAATAATGCTTTAATATTTTTAGAAATTTAAAAATGTTTGTTTGTGGAATATTTTTGTTAGGATGAAATGATCCAAACCTCTGGCTACCAGGTGTGTCTTCAGGCATTGTCTGCACATTTTACTTGTTTTTATTGTAAGACAAATTGACACCTTGATTAATCAAACCACAGGAAGCGAAAGGTAGCCCGCTGTTAGGTGCTCTACTTGCAGCTGAATGTTTATGATGGTGCACTGTCGGTTATCCATGATTATTCCTTATTTTGTGGGGTATTCAGGATGAAGGTAGATGTGCTGAGACTAGGACAAATCCTTATCAAATCCAAGCAACAACTCTAGACTATTTTATTTTTTAAATTATATATATATAAATTAAATGTTTTTAATAAAGGGTTTATGGAACACCTTAATTTTTTTATTGGCATCATGAATGCCCTAGAAAGGTAATCTAATTTTTTCAGGGTTTCAGTCAGTTTTTTTTACGTATTGGTATTATCATTAGCAGTGATGGCAGTATTAGTGCCCCTTTTGTAAGCAAAAAAAAGTATTCCAGGTTGGGTTTTCAGACATACAGACCTGCATATGTTACTTGGGTCCTCTTCCAACTGTTCTTTCATTGTCATGTTCATAAATTTCCTGTCAACTCGTATCCCATCCAATATTGGATTTTTGTCAGTCAGAACTTACATATATTAAAATACATTTTGTACTGTAGATTTTACCTATTTACTGTGATGTTGATGTAACTTCCTTTCTTTAAAGTGAATCCAACTTAAAGTTTAAAAACAAAAAGGTCTGAATTAAGACTGTAACGATATAGTAGACCTACTCTACTAGACAACAGTATAGAGTAATGATTAGGAATGTAGATATTGATCTCTGGACACATAGTGAGTCAAAGGTTAGTTCAAATCCTGTGTGGGATTTTGCCCTTGAACAAGTTATTTTGAGCAGATTAAGGCCCAGCTCTATCGATGGGTTCATATGTGAAAACACTATGATTAAATGCCTCAGCCAAATTAATCATGCTTTGTGTTAAAAATAAAAATTTAAACAGTTTGCATTCTTCAAATTAGCACATCATATTTAAAAAATAGATCTTGACGGATTGAATATAATTAGAGATTGATTTATTTAACATTGTTGCATTGTAGTTTCACATTTTTGTGTTGCACATTTCTGAAAATAATTTCAAATGTTGAATCATTAACCATATTTTCATCAGGCCTTGTTGCTCTCTGCTCAGTGTCTTTGTTTTGCATATCTGCTCTAGCTCCGTAATAAAGGGGCAGAAGCAGTAGCTGCATCTGAGGAGACCCCTGCTGAAACTGCTGATGAGGGAGGAGATGCTACTGCAGAGGACAAGCTGAAAGACCTTGAGGACTCCCAGGAGAGCTCTGTCAAAAAAGACGGCGTATGTGGGTGAGGAGACTGCATCACTGCTTGGTTCTTGCTTTGAAAACACAAATTGGTATTGGAGTGGCTAGTGTGACAAAAGGTTAAGAATGTATGGCCACTTTCAAAGTACTGCCTACTCCCCAGCAGTCTCCAGCTGTAGGCCATTACTGGCAAGGAGGAATGAGACAGTAGCAGGTCCACAATATCCTTCAGAAGCCTGTTGTACAGTCATGTTAAAAAGAAATTACACCCTCTTCATTTTATGGTTTTATATATCAGGACATAACAAAAAAATCATCTGGTCCTTATCAGGTCCTAAAATTAGGTCAATCTAACCTTAGATGACAAGCAACACTTAACAGATTCCAGTATGTCATCATTTAATGAACAATAAGCCAACCTGCAGAAGTCATGTGTGATAAGTACACCCCATGATTCAGTAGCTTGTAGAACCACCTTTAGCAGCAATAACTTGAAGTAATCATTTTCTCTATGAGTTTATCAGTCTGGATTGGAGGAATTTTGGCCCACTCTTTTTTACAACATTGTAAAATGTTCATTGCTGTTTGAGGGCATTCGTTTATGCACTGGTCTCTTAAGTTCCTGCCATGGCATCTCAGTGGGGTTGAGGTCTGGACTTTGACTTGGCCATTCCAACACCTTGATTCTTTTATTTTTCAGCCATTCAGTTGTATATTTGCTGGTGTGCTTGGGATCATTGTCCTGTTGCATGCCCCAGTTTCAGCTAAGCTTTAGCTGTCTGCCTCACATTTGTCTTTAGAATACTTTGGTATAAAGAGGGGTTCATGGTCGACTCAGTGACGTCAAGGTGCCCAGGTCCTGTGGCTGCAAAACAAGCCCAAACCATCACCCCTATACCATCGTGCTTGACGGTTGGTATGAGGTGTTTGTTGTGATGGGTTGTTTGGTTTTCGCCAAACATGGCGTTGTGCATAATGTCATAATAACCATACATCTTCACTTTGGTCTCGTCTGTCTAAAGGACATTTTTCCAGAAATCTTGTGGTTTGTTCAGATGCAGCTTTGCAAACCTAAGCTGTGCTGCCATTTTCTTTTTGGAGAGAAGGGGCTTTCTCCTGGCTACCCTTCCATGAAAGCCATACTTGTTCAGTCTTTTTCTGTTCTTTCTGTCATGATCTTTAATTTTTAACATGTTAACCGAGGCCTGTAGATCCCTAGATGTAGCTCTTGGGTTCTTTGTGATTTCTCTGAGCATTATACGGTCTGACCTTGGGGTGAATTTGCTGGGACGCCCACTTCTGGGAAGACTGGCAACTGTCTTGAATGTTCTCCATTTGTAAATAATCCTTCTCATTTGAAACGATGGATTTCAAATAGTTTGGAAATGGCCTTATAACCTTCCCAGATGAGCAGCAACAATTGCTTCTCTGAGTTCATTGCTGATGTATTTTCTCCTTGGCATGGTGTTAACACACACCTGAATGCTCCAGACCACCAAACTGCCAAAAGTTCTATTTTTATAGGGGTGGTCACACTTCCTGATGATCGACTAATCAAGTGCATTTAGTTAGCAGTACCTGGCTGCTAATTACCTTCTTAATTCCTATGGAAGCAGTAAGGATGTACTTAATTTTTCCCACATGGTTTCTGCATTTTGGCTTACTTTTTGTTGAATAAATAATGACATAGTGATATCTGTTATCTGAGGCTAGATTTGTCTAATTATAGAAGTTAGTGAGGACCCGGCGATTATTCATACCCTGATGTAAAACCATTGAATTGAAAGAGGGTGTACTTTCTTTTTTACATAACTGTGTATACAGTCATAAATGTTTGAACACACTTTCTGAATTGTGTAACCCTGCTATTATGTTTTATGTGAAGAAGGTTCTTATTCCAGTGCAGTTTTTATTTTGTTTCAATCATGCTTTGAAATGTATTTGGATATTCAAATGAACTTTATCTTGCATGTATCTTTACACAACATATCATGTTTCTGTTTATGGGAAATGACAACTGACAGAAATAAGAAATGCATATTGGTCTGATATCGTGCTACGCCATCTTGGTAAGCTGTGTTACTCGGAACACACTTCACATTCAAACAAAACAGCCCAGCACACCCCCTTCCCTAAAATGTACTTAATTATTCTAAATGTGGTCTTAAAATTTTAACATAATATCCCTTACTTTAAATTCTACGCCTTTTAATTATATATCCTTACATTTCGATTGCCTTTTTATTGCTGTCCCACATTATACTTGACATCGATGGAACGCGTACAACGGAACAAATTATGGAAAGAAGTAGTTCTTATAGTTGTACAAGGTTACAAAGAAGTAATGCACTGTATTTCTTCCTTTAAATAATCAAACCTTTCCTGTAAAAGCCAGGGGGTATTTTCTGGTGTGAAACAATGATCTTACATCCATGAGGTCAGAGTTGGTTAATCAAATTTGCGTCTAACTTTTATGACAAGACGGGCTCTTTGCAACCGATGGTATCAGGCACACAGATGCTTGAGGCAAAATGCTGCCTGTTTATTGGTTTTGATTGTTTTGATCTGTTGTCTCAGCCCTAAATCCAGCTTCATATATTCAGTACATCGATCAATAAACAAGGAGGTTGTCAGCAGTTCATGCTTTCCAGGTTTTGGATAATTGTTTTTGTTGCTTGATTTTTTGAGTATGTACAATATTTTTTTTAAATGTTTTGATTCAAGCAGCTATACTTCTTTAAGATTACTGTGTATAGTTGCATACTATTTATAATGTATCATCTCGGTAAAAAAGAAGTGTGCACTTTATCCGAATACAAAATATTGTATATATTACTTAAATATCAGATTGGGCTGAAGCTATTTCTTGTTTAATAGATATAGTATTTGAAGGACGAATTTGTTAGTTGCTGGGGTTATTATAAAATCTGGTGAAATATTGTAGAGACTTTTTTCTCCTTATTTAAATGAATACCCTGTGTATGTGTTTCCAATCCATTCATTTCTGTGACAAACCGGTTTGTTACTTAAAGTCTCACACCAAGGAATGTGTCATTTCTAATACTTCAAATAGGTAAATGGCTTGTCAAAATTGTAATTTGTCTATAAGCTTTCACAATCAGAAAGTATTCCCTTGTCCAAAGTGGCAAAGAATTTGTGCAAATTTTTAAAAAGCATGTTTAAAAATACTTGATTCTGATCGATGGGAGTTAAATGTCTTTGTTTACTCTCACATACCATACTAAATAGTCTGATATTTTAGGTTCTAGGTTTCAGTTCAGATTTTAGAAATTAAACCCTGTTATGTTGGCTGTTTCACTGCATTGCAGTCTGAGACTTCCCAGTTCAGATGAAACACTTTCTATTTCCAGCCCTCCACCATCAAAGAAGATGAAGCTGTTTGGCTTCAAAGAAGATCCTTTTGTTTTTATTACTGAGGATGATCCAGTGTTCCCTCCAATCCAGTAAGTACTGCTCAGATTTATCTATAAAAACTCTTATCCCATGAAGTCAGAAGTAAGGTGTCTTAGAAAATAGAGATATAACGTATAAATGGCATTTTAGGCACAGATATCACACACGACAATGTAATGTTTGCAAAATTCCAGTTAATTCCTCGAACAGGCAGTGGATAATCTGCCGACAGGGGAAATAAGGAAAGTGTTCTTACCCTTTTCAGTGGGATACTTGGCACAACATCTTTGGGAGGTTGTTGACAAAATGAATTGCTAGTTGTTGAATGAGCAAGATGAGAAGAAAGGCCTACTCTCCTCTAGTCTGTACCCTTCCTCACCTTCTTTTATGTTAAAAGAACAGAATGTTTCCTTACAGGAAATTTTACAACCTTTCCTGCACCTTTCCAAAGCTGAATTTACTGACAAGGACTCATGAAGGGAAAAAGAGAAATCTGTATATGGTCTCCAAAGAGCTTCGAAATGTCCTGCTAAACAACAGTGAACGCATGAAGGTGAGAGTACCCCTCATTTTGTCAACCGTTTTAATTTTCCTTTTACAAATGGAAAATACACAATTCTTTTTATATGGCCATTACATCATAATTCATGGTTAATTCATGCAATTCATGGTTTTGACCTCTCATGTCAGTGCCTACGAGTTGCAGGAGTTACCTTTTCAATGAAAGGCAGAGATGACCCTGGTCAACCAGTGCCCCATCCTATCATGGTTATTCCCTGCAAGCTGTTCATTTATCCCTGGGAAATCTTGGTCGCAGGCTAAGACTCAAATAGGCAATGTCTGGGTCTTAATGATCAGTGTACACGCTGAACAAGAGCCTTTACTGTTCAAGGCTCTTGTCCATTGTCAGTCATTTTTCTAAACCTTTCCCTGTGCGATAGTCTGCATGCACATGGAAATATTGCCTTTGTCGTTTTTTTTGTGCTTTCGTAAACATGAAAAGGTTAGTTCTTCCATGTGTTCCATTATTAAACTTTACTCCTTTCTCTTAAAAACCTTTGCTTGTGCCAATAGTTTTTTTTTTGTGTAAGCCACTGCTTGAGACTAACCTTTTTTTGTTGAACTTTTGCATTAAGATCTGAAACTGGTTGAAATTAATTCTTATCTATTTTTAAAGATTAAGATGTTTTTACTTATATAATTGAAAGAATGTGGGATTTTGATCTGGCATGTGACTTCATGTGAAACATAAATCGAAATGAGTTGTTGCAAACTTGCTCTTGACTTCCTGAGCTTTGGAGTACTGTGCATTTTCTCGTTTGAGTGTTAATTGTATCTTTTTGCAGGTTATTAACACTGGAGTAAAGGTTTTGTCCCGGAATAATGATGGAGAAGAGTTTGGTTGTGCCTTCAGGCTAGCCCAGGAGGTAGTATTCATGTGCATTTATTGAATTAGGTGTTTTGAATTTATAGATAACAGGCATAATAAGAGCATTACAATGTAATATTCATACTTCTTTACAGAATTATTTTTAATTTGATGATATCCTATGAAGTTTATCAAATTACTGCCACTATGAGAAATGCACAACTTTTATGCTACTAATATTGCATGACATTAAAGAATCATTCTTAGCTACTGAATTAAAATGAAAGTATACTCACGCAAATTTCTTTCTCAACTTAGTTTCTTAAAGTCAGGTTCCTTTTGAAGGATTGTATAATTTTGAATTTTTTCAAGACTTTTTGTACATACAGAGCTAAGAACTTTTGTTTTTTAACAGGGCATTTATACTCTTTTTCCATACATTAATGCCAGAATCATTAATGTTGGTGTGGAAGATATCAAGGTGCTGCTAACACAAGAGAATCCCTTTCTTAGCAAATTGTGTGATGAGGCACATGCACAGGCAAAACAGATTGGTAAGTTGTTACAGTTATACTAATGTTCTACATAACATATACTTAATATTATCGGATTTTGCTACTTATCGCCACAAATGTACAATTTATAAAATTTTATTAATTTTTTTTCCCCAAACATTGAATCATTTACATCTTAGACCTGCTGCAAGGAGTTAAAGCATTACAGTGTTACAAAATATTTTAAAATGAAGGTCTATTTATTTGAGCTTTGGTGACAATTATAGATCAAATAAAGTTTCTTTTTTTCAGCAATGGGCAGCATCGTTCTGAGATATACACCTGATCCTGAGTAAGTAGTAGTCAGTTCATATAAGTTGGTTTAGATCACTCTTTGTTATTCTCATGGATAAGGCAGGTAATAGAGCCAGTGTTTCACAGAGATGACAAACATGTTGATCGTTTTGTTATGCTTTGTAGATGTGCTTCACTAAATACTGTGTAGTGTATTTCTGGATACTTGCATCTTCAGTTTGACTGTGGCTAAGGCAACTTGTATCTTCAGTTTGAAGATTGATCCCAAATTGCTTTTATGTTTGGCAATATTCTTCTGCCTGCCCAAAAATAAACTGTTTAACTATTTGTTAGGAAAGGAACCTACAAGTAAAGCATATTGTCATAGTTACATTGCCGTTCATGTAGAAATGGTGTTAAAAAAAATCCATTCTGGTCTGAACCCCATCGTGTTAACTTAATTGTCAAAGATGGATAAGCCCCTTAACTTTTTTCCCCAAGCTTTCTTGAGAAAAAAAGAGGACTTTTGTCAAAAAAACTGATTGTTTTTCTTCATCCTGTCAACATAAGACACACGTGCAAGGCCGATAACTCATTCACATATACAAGGAGCAAATGATTGTGTGCTGTAGTCCAGATGCCTGCTTGTATGTGTTTATTATCTGGGGTAACAATTACCGGAGGTAAAAAAACAACTTAACCTGTTTGTGAAAACTAATGGATGACAGATATGGCTTTAACTAGAAAATAAAAATAGAAAATGGAGACAGCCTCTACGCATGAGTTATGTAGATAATTATGAAAAAGTAACGCTATATGAGTGTTTGGGGTTGGTGTACCAGTTTTGTGCTGTTTGTGTAGAAACGTGATTGATATTGCTTGTAAGGTATGACACTAAAAATGTTCATGGAGTTGTAAACGAAGCCTCCAGGTCGATTGTTAATTTACAGTGTCTTGATTCATATGTTCTGCTTTGGAGTGGATATATAATTTCCTTTTTAATTTTTTTTATAGGAAACCAGATTCCCCACAGTGCCCCATTGTGTTGTGTGGATGGAGGGGGAAGACCTCTATTCGAGCTTTTGTGCCAAAGAATGAGCGTTTTCACTACCTGAGAATGCTGGGCGTGGAAGTGTTTAGGGAGAGGAAGAGGGAAGACTCTGTGGCCCCTAAGGCTGAAAAGGGGGATAATGGCGAAGAGCTAAGTGGACAGCCCACTGTCCAGGATTCTGAAGAGATGGAGGCTGAAGGAGATGGAGAATCAGAGTCAACTGTTGAGCCACTTGTATCAGATGGCAAGGAGGCTGACAAAATTGAAGGCACTGAAAAGGTGCTTGCTGCTGAACCACTCTAAGGAGGACAGGTTTAAAGCGGAGAGGTGTAGGGGTGCCCTTTAAACTGAACAAGCTGTAGAGGAGCAATGATAGAGCCTACATTGAACCTTTTTAGAATCAGTTAGCTTGTGCCATCAGAGTGTAGTCAGAGCGGAGTCTAATGAGCAAAATTTTATTTGAAACAATGATTTTTTTTTAATCTTCCTAATTTGGGATGAATATGTCCATACTAATTATTTCATGTGTTTTGTATAGCCTAAGCTTTGTATCCTCAGTCCAGACATTATTGTTTCTGGATTAAGGAGAACCATTTAGTCTGTTTTAATTTCATATTTAAAAGTTCTTTTTAAATGAATTAGGAAATATTTAATTTAGAAACTCACGTGACCAGTTTCTTAGTTCAAAATGAGTTAACTTTTCATACTTTTCATTTTTATTCTAAATAAAGGGACAGGTGGTCTTTCTTGTTACATTGGTTAAGTTTCCATAAATACATCTGGATGAAAAGTTTCATTTGCATAGCCTCATAATTTCATAAAGTAAACATGATGAGTGAAGCACTGCAAGTTGCATGATATGTTGGCTATCCAAAAAAATGAGCAACATTTCTTTCAAAACCAGAAATCATTTATCAAGTCTTTGTACTGTTGATTGAACAGTTTTCTTGTGTGCTCAATATTGGCCAGAAATACAGTAGGTGTAATCGCTTAATTAATAAGAAATAAACAGGAGAAATACTTTCCTATATCTAAATCTTAAGGTAATTTACAAAAAAATGTTTAAGGAAACACAAAGTAGTTTTAAAGGGTACTTTAACTATTTAATGTGGAGTTCAAAGTTGTATTACATGTTTAGGGCTATGGAAAATAAGTTATGAGTAAGTGTGACTGCTGTCTAACAGAAGCTCTTCACTACTCAGGAAAAACAGTCTCCGATGTCGCTTTTGTAACACCTCATGAACTTGCAGTCCTGGGCAACTGAGCCTGTTAAGTAGAATCGGAAGAAAACTACTTTCAATTCTCAAATAAAAGAGAAAGCTTTTTTTGTTGTTGAATGTGTTGTCTTCTATCCTGAATTTCTTTCTCTCTCCAGTGAGAAAACCGCTAGTGAAAGCTCTGCATTTTTAGTTCCAAAAGTATTTGAGTTGTGTAAGCAAGTATAGCCTCCCAGATTTTTTAGATAGAAATGGAACTCATCCAAAGATAAATCATAAGTTAACTTATCCATTTTGCTTAATCGTTTATATTCAAATATCCTTGTTTTATAGGTTTTCTAGTTGAATGAAATACCCATCTTTTTCGTACAGTTTTCTTCATGTGGTAGACAATAGTGCTTAAACAATGTGCTCTCATGTACCTACTGCTTTGCAACTCATACATGATGTATCTTGACTTTTCTGGCATAGATTTTTTTAATAAAAAATATGTTCAAGACAAATCTTGAATTTCATAGACATGTGACAGTAAATTGTGAAGTGGATGGAGAACTCTCATTGATGGAAACCAGTGTCATAAAAGAGGTGAAAGTAGCAGTAGGAGAGATGTACCAAAGTCAATGTTCTATCAATGTATAGCTTTCAGGATACAGCATATTTTTAAAAACATGTAAACATAAGAGCTTATATAATAATATTTAGTGCAACACAAGGTAATCACACAAGCAACATTTTAGGTGTAATTAAGTTCATGAAAGTTAATAGAATTGGGAGCTGTTTTCCTTACTCAAATAACTTAGCATTTTGGAAATGGGTTTAAACGTATGTAGCTTGCTAAAATTCCTTCTAAAGTTAAATCAATTGTGGGGAGATTCAAGAGATCATGTTTTGAGAATCAGTGGAAAATTAATAGAGGCATGGGAGAACAGTCGGCATTTGGGAATACTAGAAAAAAATCTGGACGTGCCACACTTCACTTTATATTGGTATGGATATAAAATATTTAGAGACAGGGATTGCTATGCATATAACCAACAGTTATGATCTTGACTACACGTGATAAACAGAAGCTGTTAGAAATATGTACATATTGGATTATTTTTGATTGTCTGGTTTTGTAATGTGGTGCTTGTTGGCCTTTCACCTTCTTGCATTTTTAAAAAGTAATCTTGCTTGTCAACTGTAAATACCAAATGTCTTAATGTGACATTAGGTCCTCTATGTATTCAGCAGCCTGCATAATCCAAAATGACCTCGGAACAGATTTTCAATGTTAAATGCCACAGTGATGCCTCTTGGGTGTGATGGCTATTTTTGTAGAGCAAAACATTTAAAACACAGAACAGCTCTCACTCACCAAATTTAAACCAATTAAAATAATTAAAATTGCTTTAAGTTTTGACTGCAATTTTCTGTATTTTTTCCAAGATATTTTTTTAGATTTGCTGATGGTGTTTTCTTTTAATCAGTTAATCTACCCATTTATCATATGGATCATGTTAATACTGTATGTACCTACTGTTTGGTTCTGTTAAATACAACCTTGTTACAAACTGCTTAGCTTATCAGGTCTTGTTTATGCATAGCGAAAGATGAAAGATTTTACTAAGAATAAGAATAATAGAATTCAGCTTTTTTGTAATCTTTGCACTTTTATCTGACAATGTCTTTTCATTTTTATGCCTTGTCTCTTGAGTCTTATGTGGACTTACTGTATGTGAGGGTGTTTTAGAGGAATATGGAAAGCCTATAAAGATGAGAGAGATATAGATCATTCTATTAGTGCAAGGTTGTTTTCATATTTTGTTATAATGTTAAACATTCTTGTAGCTCACGGATTTATATTTGCATTTGCTTAGCACTTTTCTTGCAAAACAATCCTAACATTCCTTACAGGTGCTTCTCCACAATGGTTTTAAGGCCCCAGAGAGACAGATGGTAAGGTGAATGATGTGTTTCAGGATAATAGCTTCCAAAAGCAGAGGCTTTTTGTACAGCTACATTTTGAAGCATTTCAAGCTTCACTGCCATAAGTAACTTCCTCTGAGGAATGCAGTAGTTTTGGCATTACAAAGTGTTTGACTGAAGTAAGTTATCACTGACTTGCCTTCAGAGCTGCCCATATTGGAGATGACCCTCAACTGGGTAAGGTTAGGAGAGGAGGTGGGGTCAGCATTTCAGACCCAGTCACAAGTTTCAGTTTGTATGGAAGAACCATCAAAATAACCTAAGAGAAACTAATAAAGGAAGGCTTTGCTGGCCATTGGGTGGTGGGTTATTGAATCAAGTATCTCATCTAGATTTTTCTTGTTAGATTTAAAGGCATCAGCTTAAACCATATGCCTAGGTAGCTTGTTCTGTACATGCACAACCCTTCAGGTCAAGAAATGCCTCCTATTCTTAATTTTAAATGCATGTCCACATAATTTTCAGTTCTGTCCATTGGTTTGTGTTTTACTGTTAATTTTGGAAAATGTTATTACATTGACTTTTATCATTGTCTTTGAGGATTTTGAATACTTGTATCAGGTGCCCTGGTCTTCTCTACTCAAGACTAAAAGGATTAACTTCTTTCAGCCTGTCGGTGGCAGACATTCTTTAAAGTCCTGGAATGTATCTAGGTGTAATCTGGACTAATTCCAGAACTTTAGTATGCCAGCACTATATCATTCACTATTTCTGCTTAAGCAGCCTTTAGATTTTGCTAAAGCCAGGTGTCTGTGTTTGCAGTCCTCTTCCTTAGCATAAAATGCATCCTGAAATTATAGCAGTCATTTGTTTAGCTGCACCTGTTCAGTTAGACTGAGCCCTTTCTGCCTGCCACAAACCTCCTGCTGCTCCCCCATACTTAATGGCTCAGGCATGGAGGACAGGAAACTCATCTGAACCTGACTAGGGTCACAACCTTAGTGTCCGCCACTGGCTCTGTATCCACTTGCATTGCAGCAAGTAGAGGATCCCTGGGATGGATCTTTCTCTGAGAGTCCTGTGGGAAGCCAATGGACCAGACCTGAAAGCCGGTTAAGAATATGTCCTGCAGCTCTATTGGACCTCTGCTTTCACTGTGTTCTCTGATACAGCCTGTTGCTGCACTCTTGCAGCCTAAGCCTTGCAATTGAGTTGATCGTCTTGGTTCTGAAAGAGCCACATACAGATGTAGGCTAGGCCGAGTTCTTCAGTGGGAAGTCCTTGTGGTTGGGGATGATTCCATGTTGGGGGTCTTCCGTGATTTCAAGGGTGAGAGCTGCTTGCCTCATTGGACTGCTCAGGCAGAGTTGAGAGACTTCTTCCTGGATGTTGCAGACATTTCCTAGTGTTTCCATCCTCTAGTCATTTTCTGTTTCCAAGGTTTTTTCATGACGTTTTTCCTTGCAGGTACAGTGCAGTAGGCATCATATTTGAACATTGTCACCTCACATGGGCCCAGCAGCATCTGCAGCTCTAGGCTCATTGGGGACTCAGCTCGATGCGACTTCTTCTCCATCACATCTGCCAACACCTTGAACTGGGCTTGCTACGCTTTTTGTGACGTAGTCTCAAATTGATATAATCTAGACACCCCACTGCTGGCCATCAGTGGGACAGTGAAACATGTGTCCTTGCTGTTATTGTTAAATAAGCACCGTGGTCGCCTTCAGCCTCTCAGCATGGAGAAACAACACTGTCAAACAGTTCTCCCCGAGCCAAGGTGCTACAGTGGGAAGCTAGGCCAATACAGTGGCTGCTGCACCAATTTCCTGCACTGATGTAAGCTGCATCCTCCCAAGCAAGGGGGCTTTTCCCTTTTTCTGCTTGGTTAGTCCCACCTCTCTCTGTGGCCCTGGAGGGGATATTGGCAGACCGGACGACATCTTTTAGTTTTTGACAATGTTATAAAACAGAGCAATGTAAGTCTAGCAGCTTTTAACTGCTATCACATTTCCCATGCAGGGACACCTGGGTTTGAACCACATTGGGTGGGTTATAAAGGTGATGTGAATTGTGTTTTTGGGAGGCGCTGGATGCAGAATTCCTGGCAGTGCCTATATTTCAGCAAAAAGACCCTTAGCATCATATGCAGTCCATAGCATTGGATAACCACAAGCCATGCAGTTCACTTATCCCTGGTGTCTGTGTCCCAGAAGTACAGGATTGAGTGCCTCCTGCAGTATGTTTACCTCCGTCCATTAATGTTATATAGATGCAAAATGTATGCTCATATAGGATATGTATATACAGTATATATTTTGTTGCATCTAAATGGTTTCAAAATATGTTTAGGGAGAGAAGAGTTGTTAACTTCTGTGCTGTAGGTGAGGTTTTATTTTTTAAAAGATTGAAACAGGCTTTTGAAGACGTCCACCATGCCTTTGGTTTCAGTAGAAGAAAAACTAAATATGGGCTATTTATGAGTCATCATGAATAACCATCTGTGATCAAGACATCAGTAAATGCATGTAGTCAAATTTCCTCACAATAGAGTGCTTATGCATGCTTCATGCAATTTATTTTTAAGCCTTTTGGATTTGAATACGTTTTGGATTATGTACTGTAATATAAACTGTTATGCAATTACAATAAAAGGGACCAGATGGAACAGGGATATCTTGTATTTTATTTCTGGATTGGTCAAATGTTGCCGCAAAACATTGTTTCAGAAACATGTTTCTACACCTTCAGCAGTAACTACTGCAATGAGGCCGATGTAAACATGTAATCATTATTGCTGGAGCCTTTATAGGTAGGGGCTCAATTAATAATCGCAGGAAATCACAAGGTGATTCCAGTTATTCTTTTGCATTAATCAAAAATTATTCCATTATCAGGAAAATAAAGATGGAAAAATTACATAGGCATTATCAACCCTATACCAACTCTCAGAGAGCAGAGAAAATTAAAGATGCAGGGAATACCATAATTATGAATTAAAAAAAAACTTTTGCAGGCTCTTCTACCACTCTGATAAAAGGATAATGTAATATGATCTAAAGCTGTATGAAAGCTGTAGCTATATGGTACTCCAGGACCAGGACTACAACGCTGCATAGTTTTCATCTTGGATTTGAAATTCAAAAACCTATTGTGGTACAGGTGAATGTACTGCACAGCAATGCATTTCCTTTCTTATTGACAATTTTTAT